AAGAAAGACTTGGGGGTAGTCGTGAGGGAATAGAACCTTAAAACTACTTTCAAATAGTATTCTGGAGACTTGTTGGTGACCAGTGCAGAGCCGTGTGCCAAGTTCTAGGTGAACTAGGTTTGCCTCTTTCATAACGATGTAAACACAGTGGTGTCGTTCGTTAAAGTCCAGGTGGATGGGAGCGGGACTGATTACTGTGTCTTGCCCTTCGCCCTTTTTTTTTTTTTCAGAACCAAATAGCAGAAATGTGTATGTGTGTACTGTATCTGCCTTCCCAGCACATTTTTATGACACTGTATTCCACTGCCTGCCTTTTTAGCCTTCTGTCCCTAGGGTTCGTCCTGTAACTTAGCATTGGTGGTTAAGTGATGGTAGGGCTGACCGCACATAAGAAGTCACAGAGGAGCGGAAGGGCAAGAATTCAGAGCATTTGTTCATGCAATGTGGCCACCTCTCTTGCATAGCCGCATAGGATCCTGTTTGTAATGCTATCAGACTCTGTCGTTTTGTTCCCCTGTCCCCTACCCCACACCCCCACAACTGGAGCTATGAAACTTTATTGGATTCCGTCTTGTCTTCTGTCTAGAAAGAATTTTACCTTGTTGACGCATGAGCTGTTTAAAATTTATTCTATTAAATGTTGGTTAATAGTTGTGCAGTTTTTCTTTTCAGAAGAAAAGGCAATTCCAATGTTGCCTTTGTTCTCTGTCGCCTTCCAACCCCTCGGCACTTCTAGTCAGATACAGACTCATCTGTGTATGCAACATCCTTTGTAATTTAAAATAAAAAAAAAAAAGATGAAAAGATTTTGAATTGTTGGCCTCATGTTTTCGCCCTTCCTGTCTCTGGCTTTTTTGAGGCTTACCAAGGTAACGGTGTCCTCTTGAGGGTGACCCACGGCCAGGGGATTCCCAGCTAGAGGCAGCGGGGACCTGGAGGAACATTGAGCTGTTACGTAGATGTATTGATAAACATTGGCATTTTTCATAGCTCAGAGCATAGTTTTGTTTATACTTATTCCTCTTCGATTCTTTGGGCAAGCGATTTCTCTGGGAAATAAAATATTTTGAGTCTCTTCTCACTCAAACGTTTGCATGTTTAATAATTTAAGTAAGAATACACAGGGCCTGAGCCGGGACGGGAGTGAACACCATCACAGCAGTGTTCCTTCTGCCAGGGCCTGTGCTAGGTGCTGGGCTCCAAGGAGACTCGAGAGACCCCAGGAACTTCCGGCCTGCGGAACGGGCAGCTGCGAACAGGATCGCAGAACAACACAGGAGTTGGCACATGCGCAGAGGGCTCTAGGCATGTTACCACCCAAGTATTTGTGAGGACGCAGGTGCCACGTCAGCGGGGTGTCAGAGAATTGACCAGCCTGTGTGCCTGGGCCCTGGAAGAAGCCCTCTTTGCTCCATTTGAGTGACACTGAGCCTGTCAGGAAGCAGATGGACATGGCCTCGCACGGACTCGTTCTGCTTCAGGACCTGATCTCTTGAGACCGCCCCTCATGGGAGCCTCTGCCGTGGCCCAGGAAGCTGGGGGGAGCGGGGGGAGCTGGGGGAGCCAGGTCAGTGCAGTTCTCGGGAAACTAACCCTCTGGGAGTGGTCTGCAGTTCACCGACATTGATGGGGAACCAGGAGAGCTCCTCAGCCACCAAGAAAAACACTGGTTGGGAAATACTTTAGTATCTCGACTGGAAGGTTCAGAACAGCAAGGAGGAGTTAAAGTCCTAGAAGGCGAGGGTGGTGCCGAGGAAGCCGCCCCCCGCCAGGTGCTGTCCCATCAGGGAACCCAGCGGCTGCTCTCAATGGCCAGCGAGGTGGGTAGTCATCAGACTAGACTTAGAGGAGGGGACTCACCCAGCCCCAGCCCCAGCCGACGTGAGACGATTCATGTTCATCTCTAAGGGACCAGGCCGTGTCGCAGGCGCTGTTGGGAAATAAAGGGCTTAGAATCTGAAAACCAGGAAGAACCAAAGCCCAAGTGTCGCAGGTGGAGGAACCAAAAGCTAGCCTCGGGATCAGTGGGGAAAGACGAAGGGAGCAAAACAGCATTGGCCGTTGCAATGGGACTGTGGGTCCCCAGATCGCATACCTGTCCCTCAAAGATGGCTTCTAGCTGGCGGGCTCAGAACTGGGTCACTTTGTTAGAAGGGACTGTGTGGGAGGGTGGAGAAAAGGGGCTGGATTTTCTTTTTTACTTGCAGAGAGAGGCAATTGGAGACTGTCGATTGCATAGGAATTTGCAGCAAGAAGCAGGATGTGAAAGGGGCCCAAGGTCACTCGGGCAGATCTGCTGGCCAACTTCAGGCTTCTTCACTGTCCTAAATAGGGAGCGTCTGTTTGAGGATCCAGAACGTTTGACCTGAAAAGTGCCAACCTCCATCTCTTTAAAAAGTTTTAATCTTAAAATGACAGCCAGGAGTTAACAGGAAATGTTCAAGGTCCAAAGAAATCTTGAAAATACTATGAAGGACACAGAAAACTTGAACAAATGCAAAGATAGACCAAGTTCTTGAACAGGAGCAGTCAGTAACACAAAGTTGTCAGTCTTCCTGCATTAAATAGAAAAGTGAATGCTGCCCCAGTAAGGACATACCAATGGGGTTAAAAAAACAAACTTTAACATCAGTTCACATAGGAAAAATTATAGGTGGGAGCTACTAGGGGCAAAGCAGCTGGTGGTTAATCCCCAACAGATATTAAGACACACAAAACTATAATAATTAAAAGTGTCATTTTGGTGCATGAATGACTTGGTAGGTCAACAGACTAGAAATACATTCAAACTTAAGAATGTAGTATGTAAATGTGGCATCCTGAACCAGTGAGAAAAAAAATGGATTATTCAGAAAATAGTGTTGGAACAACTGGGTAACCCCCCTCTGGAAAAAGTAAAGGCTCCATACTTCATACCAATAAGTCACCATACATTTTGGTAAAGACCTATATGTAAAAAACAAAAAACCCAGAAGAAATCATAGAAACAATTCTTGGTGGTGGGCGAAGGCCTTCCCTAACTTGGATCCCAAATCCAGGAGTCATAAAAGAAGATTGATAAATTCTATGTGAAACAAAAAATTAAACAATTTTTGGAGCACTTCCTGTGTGGCAGGCTCTAAGGTTAAAAAACAGCCAATTAAAAATTCCATAGACTAAGAAAAAAGCTCATAGGTAAGAGCTAATCCTTCAGCAAATAAAGAGCTCCCGGGAGTTGACAGGAAAAAGACCAACCCAATGAAGAAATGAGCAGACAATAAATACAAATAATTCTCAACCGCATTCACGAGAAGAGAAATGCAGATTTTAAAAATGGCATTTTTCACTTGATCAGATCGGCAAACATCCCAGTGTTGAACACACCATGTTGCCCAGGCCGTGGGAAGCAGGCATGCCGGAGGGAGTGTAAACTCCCACAGATCAGGCCTCTGTGAAGAGCGGTTTGGTGGCGAGGGCCAGAACTTTCAAATGCCCATGCCCTTGGACCTGGCAATTTCGTTCGCGCTGGGCCAGTTGTCACTCCCTGTGCCGGTTTCCTCGCGTGTAAAAAGGGGATAATTCTACCTCCTGGGGCTGTCGTGAGAGTTAAGTTAGATGATACACATATAGCACGTAGTACAAAGAGCCTGCCACACAGGAAGTGCTCCAAAATGTCAGTATAATATAGTAACAGCAGCCAGCGCGCATGCGCTCCGGCCCAGGCCACTTTCCCACGCTTCGCTAGGTGCTTTTCCCCCCCGTCTCAGCCCATTGAGTCCTCCGGCCAACCCTGCGCTTCCCACCAGGTGGCCCCTGGGGGGACTGGGCCACAGAGGTGGGATGTGGGTTCACTATCGGAAACATACAAGAAAGCTTAAAGAAATAGAAAACACTGTCAATGCCACCTTCCAGGGACATCCCAACTGGTACTTTTCCAGGCTTGCTTTTCCCCCCTCTCTATGCAAAAAAAAAAAAAAAAAAAAAAAAATCTGTCATCCTTAGAATGGCTGATCTGCGGGAGATGGGGAGAGGCCACCGTGGAAGTGTTCTTGATGTTCCCTCCTCTTCCTCTCCGATTTGTTTTTCCCTAGGACCACACGAAAAGGCGAGGCTGAATTCGCCCCAGGTGCCGAGGGAAGTCCTGGACTCGGCGCCGCCGCCCCCGCGGGCCTCGGGCCGGCCTCTAGGGGGCGCTGGCGCGAGGCCGTGCGGCGCGGAAACGCGTTTGAACTTGGCCGCCGCCGCTGCCCGTAGCCGGCGTCTCCAACATGGCGGCTGCCCAAGATGTCCACGTCCGGATCTGTAACCAAGAGATTGTCAAATTCGACCTGGAGGTGAAGGCGCTTATCCAGGTACTGGTTCCCGGGGCCCCAGCTGGGCTTCGGCTGCCCTAAACCCGAGCGCCGCTGGCCTCCTGTGAGCCCGCGGGCTCCCTCCCGAGCTTCCCCCGCTCGGTCCGGTCTCCCTCTCTGGTCGCTGGCCCGCTCTATGGCCGCTCCCTCCTCTCCGGCCCCCTTTGGCCCCTTCCCCTTGACCCTTGGCCTTGAGCCTCCATCCGGGTGGCGTTGGCTCGCCCTTTCCCGGGACCCCCATGTCCCTCGCCCCTCCCCAGGCTTCCCCTTTGTGGCCCCGCCGGCCCCCCCCCCCCCCCCCCGCTTGGTCCCCCGGCCCCCCGGCCCCCCGGCTCCCCGGCTCCCCGGCCCCCATAGGGAGCCCCGCCCCCGCCCCCGCCGCTGGGGGGCGTCCGGAGGCCTCAGCCTCGCCCCCTGCTGGCCAGCTCCTCTGGGCCTCTGGCCCGTGGCCCCCAGGGCCGCCTGGCATGGGCGGCACCGGGGGAAATGAGCGGGGGAAATGAGCGTCACCCGGGCCGAAGATGTGATTTAGGAAATGAGGACACCGAGTCAAGTGGCGAGGCCTGAAGCTGAAGGCGGGTGGTGGCAAAACTGGGACCCCGAGAAGGGACTCAGAGCACCGAGGAGCGTTAGCCTCATGGAGCCGTTGAGGGGTAGAAGGTAAAAGTGCAATAAACCAGCTGGCACACGCAAGGGCTAGGAATGTAAACGCAGCTCCTTACGTTTAGCAAGAAGGAAACCAAGAGTTTTAAACCTCGGTTTTAGGCAAATCGTTTCCATTTCCAATAAATGTTACTAAACATTAGATGTAGATTCAGAGTTTGCAACTAGCGGGGACAAAAAGTGAAGGAAAGTAGGGCCTCCCACCACCACCACCACCACCACTACCACCACCACTGCCGAAACCAGGTGCAAAATAAACCGAATGAGTTGCCAGGAAGTGTGATTTAATGATTAAGCCAGAGAACAAGTGAGGAAGTTTTAATGCAAACATTTACACTCCCCTTCTCCCGTGTGTAAACCACCAAATGCCCGGCCAGTTCTGAAATCTAATGAGAACGAGCGATTATAGCCAGGTTCATTGCACTCTTACTGTGCTTCCGTTCCTCTGCTAAATGCTTTCTGTACATACATGGTCTACCAGGGGTCCTCAAACTTTTTAAACGGGGCCAGTTCACTGTCCCTCAGACCGTTGGAGGGCCGGACTATAGTTTAAAAAAACAACTATGAACAAATTCCTATGCACACAGCGGCAGCAAAAACACCCAGCTGGCCGGATAAATGTTTTCGGCGGGCCGCATGTGGCCCGCGGGCCGTAGTATGAGGACCCTGGGACTCTCTGCAGTAGGTAATACGATGAGGGACAGAACTGAGGCTCAGAGCTCAACTGATTTTTTTTCGAGGTTGCACGGCTAATAAATACACAGCCAGAATCTGCATCCGCATAGTCTGGCTCTAGGGCCTGCTCTGAAACCTGGCTCCACTCATTCTGACTGTGCAGAAACGAATTCTAAAGCTACCCTCGAGTCTGTCTCCAAACACTGCGCTCTATAATAGGTGGTTTGTGAAATCAGATTGAAGCTAATCTTGTCATCTGATGCCCGGAATTCAGCGCCCCGATCCCCAAAGGTCTCAAGTGAGTAGTATCTGCTTTGGGTTTACATTTTAGTTGAACACACAAGCTACTTTAAGGCTCTCAGACTTGCCAGGTGGCGTTTTGTTAAACTTCAGGAACTAATAAGTCAAGACAGAGTTGCGTTTCTCTCTCTGCTTTTATGTTACCTATTCACAATCAATTTAAAGAGCGATGAGAAAAGTGTAAATTATAATGTGTTTGCTTGTGTTGCAGAGGTAAACAGCAAAGACCAGGCTGAAATACGGTCGGGGGGCCAACCTTAGCTGTGGCGTAAGCCAGCTCTCCCTGTACTGATGGTGTCATTTTCTTTCGTTGCCCTGAGAAAGGCCCCCTCATCTCTTCAATGTCTCCTAGGATATTCGAGATTGTTCAGGACCATTAAGTGCACTTACTGAACTGAACGCTAACGTGAAAGAGAAGTTTCAACAGTTGCGGCACAGAATACAGGTGAGCAGCGCAGAACTGAGATGCTAAGGAAGGGGGAACGAGGAGGGGGGCTCCGTCCTGAGACTGACCTCTGCCGGAGAGCTGTCCAGGTCCTTCCTAAACGTGTAGACAGGGAGGGAGCTGTACTAACCTGCTATCCAGGTCACTGCTAGGAAGTTAGGCATGCAGCGCACAGCCAGCTGTGACAGACGGTGGCAGGGACACCATTGTCCTTGGAATTTTTCAACTTCAAAGCTCTGCGGTCACTTGAACTACTTTCTTTTCTCTCCCACTCTCCAGCCCATTCACCCCAGTCCATCACCAGTGTCTCCTGGGTAAATTTTTGAGGCTGTCGCTTTGCCCAGCCTCCTCCCCTCTGTTTTGTAATCACCAGTCGCATCATATGCACATATACGCTCCTGAATGTGACTGTGGTATATGTGCCATCTCAAAACACAACAGCGAGAAGTACCGGTGTGGGTAACGTAGGTGTTTCTGCGCTGTGCCTTCAGTGAGGGTGGCAGAGAGCTGCCCGCCTCTCAGAAGGTGTTGGGCACCTGCTCTGCCTACATGTGGTGCTGGGGTGTAAAGCCTTAGATTGTTCATATTGCGAGGCCCCAGATGCCAGCCACCAACTGAACCCGAGAAGACAGTCTGTTCCAGAGCTGGTGGAGAAACTGGCTGTTTGGACCCTCAGAAACAGCATGTCTGTGCCCTGCGTGTTGTCTTCCAAAGGAACTTTCCGGGGCAGTTCTCAGAATCGGTTTTTGATATCCCCATGATGTCTAAGTGGGGTCTGTCTCCTGTTCAGATTTTTGTGCTGCGTGGCAGGTGCACGTCGCCCTCTCAGGCAGCCACACCACTCACGGCTGTCTGCGCTGGTCTTGGGCTCCTCCTCGCTGTGGGGTCTTGGGATTGTCCTTATTTTCTTTCTTTTTTTAAAAAAATATGTTTTTATTGATTTCAGAGAGGAAGGGAGAGAGAGAGAGAGAAACATCAATGATGAGAGAGGATCATTGATCAGCTGCCTCCTGCAAGCCCCCTACTTGGATGGAGCCCACGACCCGGGCACGTGCCCTTGGCTGGAGTTGAACCTGGGACCCGTCAGTCTGCAGGCTGACACTCTATCCACTGAGTCAAACCAGCTAGGGCTGTCCTTATTTTCTTACCGACTCTGCTCTCTCTAAAAGGATGTTTGGCATTCCTCAGTGCCCTGCTCTAGGAGGGTTTTCCAGTGCTGCTTATGGCCTGGCTAGAACTAGAAGTGCTTCCTGGTTTTCGTATTGGCTTTACAGTGATTTTCACACAGAGCTGCTTTCCCCCAAAGGAGCTGGAGCAGTTGGCTAAAGAGCAAGACAAAGAGTCTGACAAGCAAGTTCTGCTCCAGGAGGTGGAGAACCACAAGAAGCAGATGCTCAGGTAGGCGGCTGGCCTCCCGCCGGTGGCCTCTGCTGGTCACGTGCTCCCTGGGAGGCTCCCTGGATTTGCCTGAGACACCTGGGGTCAGTGACCAATTGTGTCATTTACACACGGACTGGATGTTCTCTGGAGATGAGTAATTCTCACAGGGGAGGGCACGCAGGGGCTGTTGGGGAGGTGGAATGGGCACAGTTTACAAAGCACATTTACATTTGCTTTGTTACACTGTATTTATATTTTTAAAACAAAACCAAAAAAAGTTTGCTATTATAATATAGGTCCTTTTTATCTAAGGAGAATTGGTACCAGAAAAAGTCCACTGAAAGCGAACCTATTTAAGATGGACCAAAATTTAGAAAGTTTTGAAGGGGCCTTTTTCTTAAAAGTGAAACAAGAACATGTAAATAAGCTCATGTTATATAAAATTGAGGTGATTGTGACTGTGTGCTAATGCTTGATTCTGTAATTGAAGGTATGCGCTATTTCTTGGTATTGAATTGGGGGACTTTTCCAGCAAAATTGTCTGGAACAGTACCTGTCCCTTCACTTTTGACTTTTGTACCATAATCATAAGAGGGATTTTATTGCAAAAGTATTTGAGGGCCCCCTCGCCGGTGTGGCTCAGTGGATAGAGCGTTGGCCTGTGGACTGAAGGGTCCTGGGTTCGATTCTGGTCAGGGCACATGCCTGGGTTGCAGACTCGATCCCCAGTGGGGGGAGTGCAGGAGGCAGCTGATCAATGGTTCTCTCTCATCAGTGATGTTTCTATCTCTCTCCCTCCCCCTTCCTCTCTGAGAGCAATAAAAATAAAATGTAAAAAAAAGAAAAGCCTTTGTGAGGCTCCATCACCTTCCCAGCCCTACGGGGGCCGTTCTTCCTGAAAGCCCTGCGGGGCCCCTCCCGAGGGCTCCCTTCGCCCTTCGTAGGTGGTCGGACTCAGCCACCTCCGTGTTTGTCTGCGGCTTTGCTTCTGATTGGAGAGACGCTCCAGCATCTCCCCCCGATGGCAGCTGAGTTTCTGACACCCAGCGGTCAGGAGGCCGCTCGGCCGCCCGCCGGGCGTGCAGGCCGTGGGTGTGCCGGAGGCTGGTCTGAGGGGCGAGGGAGGTGTGCGCGGTGACCAGAGCTAAAGTGCTTGGCTCGGTGATACTTTGTGTCAGGACGCCTTTTGCTTCCCAGGGCCACCAAGGGCACTAGATGACAAGCATTGAGTAAGGAGGATCGCCGTATAATGTGCAGAAGTTATGCCGGACAGAATCACTGAGCGTGGGCGGAAAGTTGTGGAGTCGAGGGCAGAGGAGCGAGCAGTCAATCAAGGCTTTGGCTGTGGTGTGTGGGACCTGGGCCTGCCTGGGTGCCCGTGCTCGTCACACCGAACAGTAAATGCTGGCTTGCTTGTCTTTCTTCACAGGAAATGTGAGCCCCTCCAGCGGGCACTGTTGCTCATTCATCTTGCATCACAGGGCACGCAGACTGTCTTGCTAATGACAGTTTGAAAAGGTCACTGATTTTTTAAAACATTAGCCATGAAATGGCATAGCAGCCGCTGGTCAGGCGTCAGGGACAAATCTGAAAACTCAGCCTCGGGTGCTGGAGAGGACCGCCTGTCAGTCCACGCACTCTCCGCGTGGCTTGAAGTGTTTCAGGGGAGCGCGGTGGGTGTGAGCCCGCTGCCTACGCGTTCTAGCGCACGAGCTTGGTTCTCGGAGGGACCCACTCGCTTTTTCTGGTCCACCCACAAAGGCGGCCCTCCTGGCTCCCGGCCGCCGCTCACCCAGTCGGAGCTGTCCCTCCCAGGGAGAGCGGGTAACGCCTGTCAATAATCATGTCCCACCGGCCTGCTGGCCCATTGTGTTTGTGTCACCCGCGATCTGTCCGTGGGGCGTAAAGAACAGCAGACCTTGGAAAAATGTTGAGGAGAACTGCCTTTTGATGATTTTTCTACTTCTTACAACAAATACTGGCTGAACAGCGGGGCCCAAAACTGTCAATTTGGTGCTGGTAATGCAAACATGGGTGAGGCAGGTCTCGCGAGGCAGAGCCCGCCGCATGCAGGGCAGAGCAGTGAAGTGGGGAGAGCTGGGCAGAGCCGGGCCTGTGTGCCCCACTGGGGATCGGAGGTTACCCTGAAGTCTGGAGCCATGTGGGCTGCATAGAGAGCTGTGCCAAGGCCAGACTCTCCCTCGGGCTGCCCGGGGGACAGGGACAGTGCGGGCAGTAAGAGACTGTCCCGGAGGCGGCCGGGGTCCAGACGAGAGGTGCCGGGGCCTGAGCTGCTGCAACTGCTGGGGCAACAGGAGGAGGAAGCAGCGGGAGGTGGGGGTGGACTCCGTGGGCCGCCCCTGCGAGCCCTTCCCCACCACACCTGCCGGAGGGAAGACCTGCTGTGACTGGAACTGCCAGCCCAGCAGAGTCAGCAGAAACTCACGCATGCCCTTGTGATTCCAGCAATCAGACGTCGTGGAGGAAAGCGAATCTCACCTGCAAAATCGCCATCGACAACCTAGAGAAGGCAGAGCTTCTCCAGGGAGGAGACCTCTTGAGGCAAAGGTATCTGTGTCTGTTACAGAGGCAGCCCGACGCCCTGCTGGCCGTCGTTAAGAGGCTCAGCACACTCCTGGGCACGACCAGGAACATGCAGCAAACAGGCATGCGCGTGAGAGACTGAAGCATGGGTCTCCCTCGCCTACGGGCTTCCCTGCAGCCAGGCTTTTGTTGACCTTCCTCCTCCTCCTCTGGACTCCTAGGAAAACCGCCAAAGAGAACCTGGCGCAGACGTCCAGCACCATCACCGAGAACCTCATGGGGATCAGCCGGGTGATGTCCCAGCAGGTGCAGCAGAGCGAGGAAGCCATGCAGACGCTGGGTAACGCCGGGCTGGAGGGGAAGCTGCTCCCGGGACACCGGCACCTGCCCCAGGCCCCTCCGCCCCGCCCCGTCCACGCTGCCTGCCCTGCCCACGGCTCCCAGTTGCTTCTGTATCGATCTGCGTTCTCCAGCAGGGATGGCACCACAAATTAGGTGGTCTCATCCGCCTCTTTCTTCCATGAATGGAAGCATCTCACACGCCTCTTTCACGCTCGCTGTCCACGTAACAGCAGGTTGCCTTCTGTGGCTGTTCGGTGATGCCTTGCTTTACTTTGTGGGGGAATCGTGCCAGGTAACCTTCTTCCCAAGTGGCAGGCCCAGGTACCCATGCTCAGTGGTAAAGTTGACTCCCGGGCACAGCGACCCTGAGGGGACAAGTGCCTCCTGGTAGGTGTCACTTGGTGTCCAAGCCCAGGCCCCCCGTCTTTAAAGCTACAGCCGTGTCCCGGGACCAAAGGACTTGCTTGTGTGAGGGCTGGTGGCAGGGCCAAGCCCTGCCTTTCCTGATCCCACAGAGAGCAACCTGGCCGTCAGGTGTCCTGGTAGGGCGCCCCCACAGGTTAAAGGGCCTGGTGCCCTCCAGCTTCTGTCCCTTTACGGACCTCGTGGGGCCGTCCACGGTCACGGGATTGGTTTTGTGGAGGGTGGTCTCAGCAGCGCCGGGTGGCGGCAGGAAGCCTTGTTTACGGTGAGGAAGAGCCTCTCTGCCCTTCTCCCTGGGGGTCCACCTGGGGCTCCCCGCTGTGGCCTGTGACGCTGTATATAGGAAACAACGGCTCTCCCCGGGTGAGACCCAGGGGAGTTTGTCCTGGTCTCCACTCTGGCTGTCTCTGTTCACAGTCTCTGCTCTGGGAACTTGCTTCAGAGAGCAGTGTGTGTGCTGGGAGCCCGGCCAGCAGGCCAGCTTCGGACTGTCCGCTCTGCAGCCTCTGAGTCAGGCTCCCTCCCTCTTATGTTTCAGTCACTTCTTCCCGGACTATCCTGGACGCCAACGAAGAATTCAAGTCCATGTCGGGGACCATCCAGCTGGGACGGAAGCTCATCACAAAATATAATCGCCGAGAGCTGACGGACAAGCTGCTCATTTTCCTGGCCTTGGCCCTGTTTCTTGCTACGGTTCTCTACATTGTAAAAAAGCGGCTCTTTCCATTTTTATAAGAGCCAAGAGCTGCCAGCGTCTGCCCTGTAAGCTCCAGTGTCAGGACCCAGCCAGGCTCCTGAGCTCTGGCCCAGCTGCCAGCCGACCCACCTCCCCGGGGGTCCAGGTGCTCAGCAGGACGGATGGAGATGGTCCGCCCGGGTTTTGGCAGGTGGCTGCCTTGTAAAGGACGGCAGAGCCAGGGGAGGCCTGTCGTCGGGACGCCTACAGGCACAGGGACTCCGAGAGCCACCGACACGGGGTGGCTGCTACGTGGGGCACGCGGAGCCCACCCTCTGGGCTGTGATGTTCCGCTCTCTCCCTCTCCCACTGCGGCCTTCATGCCTGATCAGGGGGAGGGAAGAGAAATGGGGTGGGAGGATGATGACTTGGGTCCATTCCTGAATAAACTTGACTGTATTGAATAGAGTGAAATGCATTTGGTTTTATAAGACATCCCCCCTTGTGTGCCTCTGTTTTTGATGTCCAGGTTTCTAGGACATGAACGTCAGTCATTTATTTGTTCATCCAACAAAGCAGCCTGGAGCGCCAGGCACACGCAGTGTTACAGATACAGCGATAAGCAGCCGCGGCCCCTCCCCCAGGGAGAAGGAGACAACCTGGCCTGGGTGCCCTGTCGCAGGGGCTGGCCCACCTTTCTCTGAGGTCCAGAGCTAAATATAACCAAGGAGAGTGAAGCTGGTGATAAGCTGAGGCCTGTCTGGGCCCAAGTCCTGGTGAGGCCAAGGGGATAGGCCCGGGCCAGGCCAGGCTGGAGACGTCAGTGTCTGTGTGGGGGCCTGGCTAACCTTGCACACGCATCCCAGCCTCCCCACTATTTATAGCCCAGAGGCCCTGGGAGTGGGGTGTGGAGGCAGAGGGGAGAGTGGGAAGAGCATGGACATTGAAGCTTGGCTCTATTACTAATGGACCACGTGGTCATGGCAAGTGACCTCATGTCACTAAGCCTCAGTTTCCCCACTTTAACTGAGGGGCCATCGTCCATATAGACCAGTGATGGCGAACCTATGACCAGTGATGGTGAACTCATTTTTTTGGTTGATTTTTCTTTGTTTAATGGCATTTAAATACGTAAAATAAATATCAAAAATATAAATCTTTGTTTTACTATGGGTGCAAATATCAAAAAATTTCTATATGTGACACGGCACCGGAGTTAAGTTAGGGTTTTTCAAAATGCTGACACGCCGAGCTCAAAAGGTTCGCCATCACTGATATAGACACTCGCAGAGTCCGTTTCTGAGAATCAAACGAGAAGGTGAAGGAGCGAGTGCAGCTCCCAGGTGACAGCAGTGGGAGTCCCGGGTGCGGAGCTCTGGGCCCAAGGGTCCTGCGGCGAACAGCCCGAACAGCCGGGGCTTGGGGAGAGCTGGCCGTGCAGCTGCGGTTCTGTTTAGATGTGGTTGGGCGGCGGGGCCTCAGTGAAGGCCTCAGCTCTGAAGTGCCAGGTGGTCACGGGACCGAGCTACGAGATTGGCTGCACACCGCAGGCTGACTCGTTTGATGAGTAGCTTTTGAGTCGCAGTGTGGGCATGCTTTATACTTTATAGCTAACATCCTTAAACAGCTCCTGGCCCAGAAGACGCTGGCTGTGAATTGGCACACATGTGTCTTATTTATAGTTAAGCTGAAGCTGAGAGTAAAGCACAGATGGGAAAGCCCCGCTCAGATTCCAGCTGTAAGGGCAGCAGATGGATGTTATCAAGTTAGGATTTTCTTGTCTTAACATTTTTCTTCACTGCTTCCCACAAACTGTCAACATCCTCCTCACAATATGGAAATGTGTGGGCTCTGTACTCCTAAAAATTCCTTCTTTGACACTTTATTCCTCTTTTACTTGCCTTCTGGAAATCGTGTTGAATTTAATCCATTTTGAAATATCAACATTTATCTTACAACTCCCATCAGCCACTGGGGTTGAAAGTCATCGCCCGCCCATCAGGAAGTAGCCGTCTCCACATTCAGCCATGAGGGGGCACTGTTCACATTCGCTCTATGGCCTTGGAGACTGTAGGAATAACCCCATCAGCCCATATGAAATGCTCTTACGGACTTGCAGGTTTTTTTAAAAAAAACCAAATGTTCAAAGCTTACTTATAGATCTTGTTTTTGGAAGACATTTCATAAATGACTTTATTTTTGCTGCTAAACAGTGGGGCAAGCTTGTATTCCGCATTGTAATTAGCGGATAATCAAGGAATTAAAAGTATAGAGCTGTCAAGAGGGCTTTCATTCAAATATTCACTCAGCACCGACTCTGTGCCAGGCACGGTGCTAGGATACACATTGAACAAGACAGGTTCCCTGGGGCATGGAGCTGACAGTAAGTGGGGGAAGGGCGGCAGGTGATACAGTTAACATTAAAGAAATCGTTTACTGTGTGGGAAAAAGCGTTTGGGGGGAAGTGGAGCAGGCTAATGGAGATCTGGAATGTAGGCGTGGCCATTCGCAGGGCGGTTAGAGTCGGCCTCATTGAGGAGGTAAGATGTGAGCAAAGACTTGGGTGGGGGGACGGGGGACACACCACACACACACACACATTCAAGGGAAGGGAGTATCACACAGGGACCAGCCAGGCAAAGGCCTACGGTGGAAGCATCTACGATATTGTGATTTATAATAAGAAGAATTACATATTTGGTCTTTGTCCTGTTCCTGCCAAAGCCCCTAAAACCATTGTATTTCCTGTGAGGAGGGTGACCAGCACGCCTTGTGCTACGTTAATGGGGACTTTTGCAGCCGCCCGAGGAGGGGGCTGGTTGCAGAGAAGCCAACCCTGTGACGAGAGGGCTGGAGCTGTCAGGCCTACCTCCGACCTCTGGGGCAGGGAGAGGGACTGGAGATGGGGTTCAGTCACCATGCCTTTGTGCTGAGGCCTCCATAGAACCCATAGGGCAGGTGCAGAGAGCTGGTGAACACCTGCAGGTTCTGGAGAGTCAGGTGTGCGCTCGGGGAGGGCATGGGAGCTCCACACCCCTCCCCCGTACCCTGCCCCATGCGTCTTTTCCATCTGGCTCTTCCTGAGTTAGATCCTTTCATTATAAACCAGTGATCTAGTCAGTGCTAGGTCTGATTTCTGTGAACCACTCTAGCAAATTAATTGAACCCAAGGAGTGGGTCATGGGAGCCTCCAATCTACAGCCTGTTGGTCAGAAGCACAGACAGCAATCTGGACTCACAGGTGGCGTCTGAAGTGGAGGGCGGGGCAGGACTGCACCTGAACCTGTAGGATCCGATGCTCTCTCCAGGTAGCTTGTGTCAGAATTGAGTTGAATTGGACACGCAGCTGGTGTCGGAGACTCGATTGGTGACGTGGAAAGAACCACACATTGCAACTGGGTGCGAATCTAAGCGTGGCTCCGTGGGGAGGTCTCCCCTAGTTATCCTGGCATGGTGGGGAGACGCAGCCGTGTGTGAGTGACCCCTTTTGGGGACACTCCCTTGCTCACGACAAAAAGCACGTTCTGTGTGTCCAGTTCTACACATAAATGGGAGGCCCTGACCTGAGGGCCAATGCAGAGGACAGCGGCGCCTGTGTCCGGTGCCCCCGAGGAGCCGGAGGGAGAGAGCCATCCCCTGGGAGGGACTCGGTGCCGGTGCTTCCCCTCGAGCCGCTCCCCGCTCTCTCCTCTCCTCTCCTCACCACCCAGCTCCGGGCAAGCTCCTTCCCTCACCCCACGCCCCGTCCCTCCATCCCTCTGCTGCCATCACTGTCCCGGGACAAGTCCTGCCTGGGCATCAGCACCTCCACGCTGCCCCGGGCATCAGCACCTCCAGGCTGCCCTGGGCATCAGCACCTCCAGGCTGCCCGGGCATCAGCACCTCCAGGCTGCCCAGGCATCAGCACCTCCAGGCTGCCCTGGGCATCAGCACCTCCACGCTGCCCGGGCATCAGCACCTCCACGCTGCCCCGTGCATCAGCACCTCCAGGCTGCCCCGGGCATCAGCACCTCCAGGCTGCCCGGGCATCAGCACCTCCAGGCTGCCCGGGCATCAGCACCTCCAGGCTGCCCGGGCATCAGCACCTCCTGGCTGCCCTGGGCATCAGCACCTCCTGGCTGCCCTGGGCATCAGCACCTCCAGGCTGCCCACCTGTCCTCGGCTCCGCAGTGTTGACCAGAGACCTCTGCTCTGTGATAACAACGCTCTTGTTCGGCTCCTGCTCCTCTGGCAACTCCTGCCCACTCTTCTTTCTCCATCTTCTCTTCAGCCCTGAATGCTGGCGTAGATCTTCCCTCTTCTCCCCCCTATGTTCTCTCAAAGGCAAGGTCATCCATGCCCCCAGCTTTAACATCCAGGGGGTCAGCAGCAGCAGTTCCAAAGTGACACCTGCACTGCGGACGTTCCATTCAGGAGTGTCGGAGGCTCCTCCACCTCACGTGTCCCTGATCCCCTCCGTGCACAGCCCGGCCCTTCTCCTGGCTCCCCTCTCATCCCACATGCCTCCCATTTTTTCTGTCCTTGGTCTCTTTCCCCTTTACTAGCTTCCTCCTCCTCCTCTTCCTTTAAATGTTTTTATTGATTTTAGAGAGAGAGGAAGATAGAGTGAGAGAGAGATAGAAACATCAATGATGAGAGAAAATCATTGATCAGCTGCCTTCTACACGCCCCCTACCGGGGATCGAGCCCACAACCCAGGCATGTGCCCTGACCAGGGATTGAACGTGACCTCCTGGTTCATGGGCCCACGCTCAACCATGGAGCCACACCAGCGGCAGGGCAGTCGCCTCTCCTCTTGACACCTCCTCCCGGCATCCCAGATGGTGAGACCCAGCAGGTCCAGGTCAGCACCGTTCTGTGCTGGTGCGTGTAGGGAGCCTCAGGGCCCTGCTGAAGCAATTTGGCAGGTGACTCAATTGGGAGACGCTTCTAAGGAGAAAAGGTTGTAAAATCAGTTCTGTTTTCGCCTTGGCTAGTGATGGTCTCCCTGGGCCTGGCCTGAGGGCTGGCCCATGCTGCCTTTCCTCCCGGAGCAAGGGCAGAGCAAAAATAGCCAGGCTAATCTAAGAGATACGGGGTAGGAGTCCCAGCCCGCTGTCAGGACGGAGGGCTGCGGGCGTGTGAGTGTGAGTGTGTTGTCACCCACCCCCCTCGGTCCCCAACGGCCAACCCCAGGGCCCGTGAGCACGTGGTCCAAGTGCGGCCCTGGTGGCAGAGAGGTGGGTTCGAATGGTACCCTTCCTGGCCCAACGCCCGAGGACGGGCCCTCTGTTGCTTGCTCCTCGGGAACACTGGACAGCCAGTGGCATTGACCCCTGCGGGTGCTTGGGGGATTGATGGACGTTTTGGGTCATTCTGCCTCTTGGCTGTTATGAATGAGTGGCAAACCTTTGTGAAAACATGTGTTTTCACTTTTCTTGGCTGTGTCCCTGGGCGTGGAATCGCTGGCTCCCAGGCTAACTCCAGAT